AATATCAAACTCTTCAGCAACATCATAGTCTTAGACTACGCAGTCTCTCAATGTTCCCATCTCCCACCAGTTCTCAGTGTGGACGATGCTGTCTTAGTTACTACTCATTCCCTCACCCACTCCAGATTAGATAGTACGGGATCTTAGAGTCTGCTGTGCATTGGGACACACTGCTTAGCACAATGCAATGGCCTCCTTTTGAAATGAACTTCTCAGTGAGCACCTTTTCTGATATTTTATATGTTTCTTGCAACCTGGAGCCAAGTGGCCTTGCTAGTGGCATGGCCCCTGTCTTAGTTAGGGTTTTACTGCTGTGAGCAGACACCGTGACCAAGGCAACTCTTAAAAGGACAACATTTAATTGGGGCTGGCTTTCAGGTTCAGGAGTTCAGTCCATTATCATCAAGGCAGGAGCATGGCAGCATCCAGGCAGACATGGTGCAAGCAGAGCTGATAGTTCTACATCATCTGAAGGCTGCTAGCAGAATACTTGCTTCCAGGACACTAGAATGAGGGTCTTAAAACCCACACCCAAGTGACACACCTACTCCAACAGGGCCACACCTCCTGTTAGTGCCATTCCCTGGGCAGAGCATATTAAACCATCACAGCACCCAAGCTGAAGGCAGAGTTAGATTCTGACAACGAGCCTGTGTTGGGTTCACTAGGCAGGTGGCAGCGATGGTAAGTCCATGGAGCAGGAAGCTATCTGATCCAGTTCTCCAAGAGAACCCAGTCTCCCCTCCACGTTGTTTTCTGTACTGTCATTCATGAATCATATTCTACAAATACACGCTTGACCTTAAAGTGTCCAAACAAGCCATGTTAGCAGCATAAGCTCAGGGAAGGCAATCTGCAACTCCCACCCACCCTTCTCGACCAGCAGCTGCTCTCTGTGAGTGTGAACTCAGGCTATAGCAAAATCCTGCATTCTCCACCCCAAATCTTCACTCTCTCCTCAAGGTCGATTTGCCTCCAATACATCCGATTACCACTTGCTCGCACTAATCCTTCTCTTCTCAGAGTTCCCCTTCTTGCTTGCTATGGGTCCAAATTCTCTTCTCCCATATCATTATTATTGTTGTTGTTGTTGTTGACAGAGTCTAATTGTAGCTCAGGCTAGCCTGGCATCACTGGGTAGCCCAGGATGACTTTGAACTCCTGGTCCTATGCCCCCTGCCTCCCTTCATCAATGCTCTTGACCTTTTCTTCTCCCACTCCACGCTGGAGTTCTTAAGAGAGCCGCTCCATTTTCAGCCTTCACCCCCTCCCACCCACTCAGTGTTATTTATTTTATTCCCTCATTGCTTGAATAGCTAACACGTGCTTCCAATTCGGAGCTTAAAGCGTTACAAAAGATGTACAGTGAACGACTGCCCTTTCACCAGGCTCCCAGGACCACAATCATCCCAGAGGCAGCCCGGCAAGTTCAGCTCCATCTTTAACCTCCATAGAGCATATATACTTATAGGGATTCTTATACTGAGGCAGCTCTACGTATTTTCTGTCCTTGGGGGTGTTTCCCACTTAGAATACTTTCGAGGTTGTTCTATGTCAGTATATGCAAAGCTACCCCATTCTTCTGAGCAGCTGCCAGGGTCCCACTATGAGGTCGCACCGTCAGCTCTCCTCTCTGGACACTAAGGTTCTTTCTGGTTTTTTTTGTTCTGACAAACATGCAACAGTGAGCATCCTGCCTTGTGAGGGCTTTTGCAGAATAAAATCCACAGAACGAAATTGCATTCTACATTTTGAAATCAAATTGTTCTCCACAGAGGTCGTACTGTCTCATCTACCCACAGCAAGATATAAAAAGGCCTATGCAAAAGATTTTTTTTTTAGACAACTGTTTTTATTTTTGCTAGTTTGGTAGGTGAAAAATATACCTTTAACTTTTTAACCTCTATACACATTTTATAGTATTCATCCTCTCCTGCCCCTTCAAACTCTTCCTGTACCCCCACATTCCTCTCTCAAATTCATGTTCTCTTCTTCTATAATTTTATATGTATGCGTGTATGTATCCTAGAACCCGTGGCTAGAGAGGTCACAGACCCTTGATTCCATCTTGCTAAACTGATATGATATCCAACTGTCTTCTAAATGCTTACCTTTTCCATAGATCAGTGTGGCTCTCAGCCCTCATCAAGAAGCGTCTTTTGGCAGCAGAAAGAGGCTATTACAGAGAACTACAAGGAATCAAAGTGCAGAGAATACGTAGTGGTCAGGAGCACATACCCAAGTCAAACATCTGTAGTGCTAGTTCTATACATCGGTTCAGAGGGCATCTTGTTCAGCGAGCATCTCGGAAGAAGAGGTGGAAAGATTGTAAGAGCCAGCGGCTGAGAAGGACTGTTGTAAAATGGTGTCTTCTAGACATGACAAGGATGTTACCCCATGAACTCCCAACAAGGTTACCTGCACAAGACTACACCAGTTAACTGTCCACCATGGATGGGGAAGGTCTCACAAGGTCCTACCTCTAGTTGAAAAGCTATAGACTTTTGGTGCCTGCAGTAGATGGAGAGGGACTCGGTTTTCTTCGTGGACAAGTCCCCTGATAGGTTGTCCTTGCCCAAGTGGTCATCCCTGCATTCAAATGCATGTAGGTAGCACTAAAGTCACATTGCGGATCTGCACTTGTTTTTATGGCTGTGCACAAGCGCTTCTTCTTTTTCAGCCTTTTGTGTTTCTCCCTCTGTAAGTCACCTGTTCCTACCTTGCCTGGTTGGAGATGGTCTTTTACAGATCCTAGAAACACCCTACATTATAAAAATTAATTCCCATGTATGATACTAGTGGCACCTATGTTTAGTCACTGTGTAACCTTTTGTGATACATGTTATATGACCAATAAGACAAATGCTATACTGTAGGTTTCCTCTGCCTCCTGATGGCAAAAATCCAAAGCCCTTCATGGTCCTCATGCTTTTCAGCTTTTGACTCTGCTGAACAATCTCTTTCAACTATCTGTGGTCTGTATTAAGACTCGCCTCCTGCTTCACTGTTGAGTCTCTGATTTCCCTGAAATTCTTGGGGCAATGTTCTTGGGAAAGGCTATCTGCTCATCCTTGTTCAGCAGAGGCCAGGAGAAGTCCAGCTGAATCACACTGGGCACTTCCCTGGCACAATTAGAGAGATGTGCAGACAGGTGTTTTACACACATCTAGGAAACGTGCAGACATGGATTTTACACACATCCGGGGGATGTGCAAGCAAGGATTTTACACACATCTGGAGGGTGTGCAGACAAGGATTTTACACACATTCAGGGGACGTGCAGACAAAGTGGTTTAGACTGATCACTAGACCCTTTTTGCCATCAAGCTTAACAGTCTAAACATTGCCCCTCCCAGCATCTCCTCCCAACCCCAAGGCTTCTGCAACTCTCATTGCCCTGGTAGGTCTGAAACCATCCCCTAAGACTCAGCTTGATGCTGCCAATTCTGCTGTGACAGTGACAATGTCTTCCATTCCTCTCTCTTCTTGCAGGCCCACATCTGAGCTCTCATCATAAGATCCACATCTCGTCGGAAGTGTGCCTTTCTTGACCCTTAATCACTCCCCTGCTGCAGTCTCAAACACCCACAGTCCCTCTGCTCAGGAAACTTCATTTCCTCCCAAGCACCAGCCTTCGGTCACTTCTCAGCAGTGTGAATTGAGGAACCCTGGCTCCAAATGAGGTACCACCATAGAAGACACATTCTTCAAAGGTGAGGGAAAAAATAAGGGATGGGGGCACACCTCAAAGGAAAGCATGCCCAGGACTACACAAAACCAGGAGCATTGGCCAACACCTGTGATCCCAGCACTCCAGAGACGGCAGGAGGACAATTCAAAGTTTAAGTTCATCCTCAGCTACATATGGAGTTCTGGGTCATCCTGAGCTACATGAGACTGTCAACAACAACTACAAAAATATCTTCTCTGTTCACTTCATGGAGCTATTTACACACACACACACACACACACACACGATACTTAACTACATTTTGTTTGTTCCTTTGGTCATTGTACTTGCTGGTTTTGTGTGTCAACTGGACACAATCTGGAGTTATCACCGAAAAGGGAGCCTCTTTTGAGGAAATGCCTCCATGAGATCCAACTGTAAGGCATTTTCTCTATTAGTGACCAAGAGGGGGAGGGCCCATTGTGGGTGGTGCCATCCCTGGGCTGGTAGTCCTGGGTTCTATAAGAAAGCAAGCTTGGCAAGGCAGAGGAAGCAAGCCAGTAAGTAACATCCCTCCATGGCCTCTGCATCAGCTCCTGTTTCCTGACCTGCTTGAGTTCCAGTCCCGACTTCCTTTGGTGATGAATAGCAATTTGGAAGTGTAAGCTGAATAAATCTTTTTCTCTCCAACTTGCATTTTGGTCATGATGTTGGTGCAGAAATACAAACCCTGACTAATACAGTTGTATCCAATCAGTGTTTAGGAGAACTATTTCCGCTGTTTCTGTTTAATTGTTGAGGACTTAACTATAGGCATTTTTTTTTCATTCCAGGTTCCCTGTTTCCTCTGCTCCAGGCCCCTTCTGCTTCTGCTTCTCTGCTGCAGCAATTAAACCCCTCCCTTAGAGAATCCAATGGCAAAGGGCCATCTCCAAGATGCTCTAGTTCCAGGAGAGTCCTGCAGCTTCCACCTCCAGCAGAGACCCTAGTAGAAAGGTGTCTTAATATTGGCACTTGAGATAGGCCCCCTATCTCCCGTAATACTCTCCTCTCAACCTGCTTCCATCAGCACCTCCAAGATAGAGCTTCCAGCCAGTGTCACAGCAAAGCCCTCTGATGCGCTAAGAAATCCTGGCAAGCTAGTAACTGGGGGTGCAGTTGGGGTCCCACGATTCAACATCCTTTACACACTCAAACCTATCTGGACGTTACTTGGGGGCTTTGGACTGGGGAGAGTGAGCGAAGGGCACATCTGAGAAGGCAGGATAGGCTGAGTAGACTGCTCCAGGGTGGAGGGAAAAGGGAGGGGAGAGGTGAGGTGCTGGAAGGGGTGGGGACAGAAGGGCTGGCCAGAACAGGACGCTGCTGTTGCTGTTGCTGTTGCTGTTGCTGCTCCTCTGCTGTTGCTGTACAGGAAGGCATTCATTGTAGGGACAACAGAACAGTTGGGACAGTTAGGAGAGCGAAACAGGCCCTTCGAGTATCTTACTTCTCCATCTTCAGCCATGACAGAGAACTCAGACAAAGTTCCTATCACTATGGTAGGGCCTGAGGACGTTGAGTTTTGCAGTCCCCCGGTGAGTACCTCCTGGTCCCCAAGACTGGCGTGGAGTGAGTCCAGATGCAGGGACCCGGAATGTGTGTGAGTGAGTGCCAGATCCACTTCTGGGATCAGGAATTTGTGCCATTGGATGTGTGGTGATGAGAGAATCAAATGAGAATGCCCAGTGTGTGGGGGGGGGTGGAGTGGCAGGGTGCATAGGATCCTCCACAGGTGTGGAGGGAACCTCTTGTGACAGCAGAGGGTGCGGGACTGGGGGCCTAGGGGGCCTGTCTAGGGAAGAGTCTGCTATGCTGCTTCCATGTCTGAGGATAAGGGACCCTCGCGAGGCAGCATCTGAGTGTGCTTGGAGCCAAGGCTTCCTACTCCAGTCCTCACGGTTCCCTGGGGACAGGACGCAGGGATCGTGAGTCTGGGTGGCGTGGCAACCAGTCTATCTCCTGCCCCGCAGGCGTACGCCACTGTGACCGTGAAGCCCTCCGGGAGCCCTACACGGCTGCTCAAGGTGGGAGCTGTGGTCCTCATTTCTGGCGCGGTGCTGCTGCTCTTCGGGGCCATCGGGGCCTTCTACTTTTGGAAGGGAAATGACAATCACGTAAGTTCAACGAGTGGCTCCAGTTGGGATGCAAGGGCCGCCAGGTGAGCGGGGTGGCTGAACCCCTAGGTGGAGCCAGAGCGCTGGTCGGCCGGTGGGCACAGCCTGCTGCTCCCTTTGGTCCCCTTGGTTCTCTTGGGATACCTCCCTTCGTGGGTTTATCACAAAGTGGGTACAGGGCACAGGGTAGGCAAGCTCAGGGTTCCTAGGACGAAACCAGAAACGGAGATTTCAAGAACGCCCTGGACACTGTGGGGAAAGTCATTCTCTGTCATCACAGCCTAACTAAGCCACCAGGCAGCTGTGGGGCAGTGGGGAGGGCACACGGCCTCTCTAACTTCTTATCCAGAAAGAAAGAAATGAAAGTAAATGATCCTTGATGCCTGTCCCAACTGAGGAAAGCTATAAATTTAAGTAGGACAAAGGGTAGAAAGAATATTCAGACCTACAGCTGAGGGGAAATCTTTATCTTTAAGAAAGTTCTCCTGTTTGTGACCTATTTATTCATTCTCCCTTTTCTGTGTTAAAACAAAAAGTCAGACTTCCTTAGAGGTAACAAATCTCTTTTAAGAATCAGTGTGGTCACCTGTGATTTAATGACAAATGTCTCACTAACTCTTCTCCTCCCTTTATCTGATCATTGAGATTAAGGCCGGATAGACTCTCTCAAGAAGTATAAAAACTGCTTCTGTCTGAAGTGGGCAGCATTCCAGTGTGTTCTCTAAATACCTGAGTGTGTCCACCTATGTTAAAGGGGGGATTTTATCTTGGTGGCCATCGCCACGCCGGGTAGAAGCTTATTTCAGCTAATGGAAAAGAATTCCATCTCCAGGGTGCACACAAAGGGCTCTTTCTTAATCACTGTCCTCCAAGGATCGCTGACTGCCTCTTTTCCCTCATCTCCCACCATGAAATTCAAAGCACGAGCGAATTCCAGTACTTAGAGAAAATGGTGCTGAAAGCAAGTCAACCATTTTACACATCACATCTTCTGCAGTCACTGCATAATTTGTATTTTTAACTCAAATGCCTAATGTAGATAAGCATGCCATTTAGCACTGAGTCTGTTTTAGAGACTATATCAAATTTACAAGCATCAATTTGTAAGATCGCAATTGCGCTGTATTTTGTGTGGATTTGAAAAGTGTCTTAATGTATTTGTATTTTAAATATAGACACTGGTCCAGATGCTCGTATATGAAAGCACAGAATCTGAACATGAGAGTGATTTTAATGTCTATGTCTCCATTAGTAACGGGGTTGAGATTGTCACCCTTTGGGAAATTTGATGGTGTTAGAATGTAAATACTATCTTTTAGATAACAAAAATCTCCATGATGAAAGAAAGTTGGAAACAAAAAATAGCTTTGCTTTTTAAGGGTTTTTTTTTGGGGGGGGGAGGTAAATATTTTGGCCGAGAAAGTAATACCACTTGGCATTTAATTAAAGACAGACATGACTAGCTGACAAGCTTCTTAGAATGAGCCATCGCCCTGAAGAAGTGGGCACCCTCTCTCCCTATCTTTCATTTTCCTCCAAGATGTTTGGTTTAAGAGAGCAGTATTAAATTCTAAGAATATGGAGGAATAGTAAATCACATTTTATTGCTAACAATCAAAGTTATTGCTATTTCCTACACAGACAGGAGAATGAAGAAAATCATGGCATTTTTTTTCTGGGAAAAAAAATTGTCTAATGCTGTTCCGTATTATTTAAGTCTGGCAAACAAATCACAAAATTTGAAGTAGAGTGCATTTGGCAGTGTCTATGCTATGCACATGCAAGGATCTGCCTGTCTTTGAATAGAACTCTAAATCACCCAAACACAGCATAGTCAAAAAAGGTAAGTATCTATCACACAGGAACGATCATCAAGCTAATGGACTTCCCGTTCTCTGGAGAGTTTCATGTCTGGCTCTCTGCATTAGTTTACAAAGGAGAACCAGATGTGAAGTTCTCACCTCTCCCTTTCATATGGCTCAATCCCCAAGGACAGGTCTGCTCGAATTTAGCTGGAGGGTTACCAAGCACAGGGCACTAATAACGAGGGGCTCACTGACGGAGCTCAAAGATTGAGGCCATTTCTCATCCACATTATTGTAAATGGAACAAGGCGTTGAGATATGGGAAATTCCCGTCAGTGCCAGACAACTGACAACTCTACCCGTTCAGTGAGGGAGGACCGTTGCTTGCGGCCTTTTTCTTAGATTAATTTTTCTAGACATTTTCCCAAACATTATGTAATTAATCTTATAGAACCGAGGCCTTATTAAAAACTCATTAGCAAATATCCTTGGCTGTAAAAGGCACCATATTGAGCAGAATTTTGGCAAATAATAAACTTCATTGTACTTGGCGAGAAATAGCCTTGGGTGCCAACAGCTCCCTGGGCTTAGAGAAGATAACGTAGTTGCCGCTCCAGCAACTCAGCTTCCTGCCCTGCTCACCGCCCAGAACTTTGGAAACTGCAGACTGCTTTCCACACTCCCCCTACTGCTACCCCACCCCTCCAAGAGGGCAAAGCTTTTCCTGCAACCACCAGCATGAGCTACATCGGATGCCAGCTGTAGCCAGGGAACCTCCGCTCGCTCAGGAGAAAGGCGCAACTGGTGAAAAGTGAAAGTAGGACCGAAAGGGTCAAAGGCAGCCTGGTACTCAGTAGGATAAACTATGGCATGTATAGGGCAGGAGATAAGGAGGAACCGGCCAAAATTAAATTCTAAATGGTTAAATTCTTAAATGTCACACTGTCTAGTTGCTGTCATCTGAGTGGAGAACAACGGTGCCACAGGCCAGGTTCCTCAACAGTCACGGCTAACCCGTGTGTACAATGGCTGCTCTGAGCTTCCAGGGCAGAACAGAGCCTGCTTTCTCAGCAGAAAGGCCTGGTTTAGCCAAAACCAAATGAAAAAAAAAACAAAAACAAAAAAACTCCAGGCTTCTGTAACTGGGATGCATCGAAGGGAGAAGGTGGAACAGGCTGCTGGGCTCTGCTCCATCTCTGCTAAGTCTGAATCCTACGGGGTGGCCCCACAGTCAGGGCGGCTTAGGGAACTGGGGGCGGATGGGTTCCTGGAAGGAGACAGGAGGGCAGGGACGGACATGCTGGAGTGGTGCCGATTTTCCTTCTCTTGCTAAACGAAGCCGGCTGCCTAGGAGGAAGAGTAGGAGTCACAGAGCCATTCTCTGATGATAAAATAGTGCTCCGTGTGTCTAGTAATAATGAGTTTTCTCCAAGTAATGATCCTGTAACAACAGCTACGTTTTTCTAGTGTTTATCCGGTAGTAGTCGTCACTCTTCATAATGAGTGAGGAAATCAGACTTGAATAAAATCACAGCTCTTGGCCCGGCAGTGGTGGTGCAAGCCTTTAATCCCAGCACTTGGGATGCAGAGGCAGGCAGATTTCTGAGTTCGAGGCCAGCCTGGTCTACAGAGTGAGTTCCAGGACAGCCTGGGCTACACAGAGAAACCCTGTCCCGAAAAAACAAAATGAAACAACAACAACAACAAAATCACAGCTCTTTGCGGTGCTGAGTGGCTGACTGGCATGAGACAGAAACTTGATCAACCATTCTCAGCCTTTCCCCTTTGAAGACTTGCACACGTGTGCTTGTGGGTGACCATGCATGCACTTTATATGTTAGGTAGATGATAGTTGTTATATAATGGATGATTAATGAAGACAGATAGCTACCAAAACGTCCTTAAAAGCAGGAAAGAAGAGAAACCCTGCCTCCAGTCCCACCACATGCAGAAAGTCTAACCAGGCAGCAGCACGCTGGACAGGAGCAGTGTGTGGATTATGTTTAAGCTATTGTAATGATAAAGCCCTTTGGATAATTGATGGGGGTTTTTTGTTTGTTTTTATTTTGTTTTGTTTATTTTTAGTCTCTCTCTCTCTCTCTCTCTCTCTCTCTCTCTCTCTCTCTCTCTCT